CGATGCGCCAGAGAGAAGAAGAAGACTTGGGCCAATAAAACATAAGTCTTGGGCTAAAAATTAATTACAAAGAATTTGGGCCACCAACTTAATTCAATTGGACCAAGAAAAAAAATATCTCTTATTGGGTTTAAGGACTAAGAATATAATTTAAATTGGGCCGAAACCAATTTAATTGGGTTTGAAAGAATACAATCATGATAACAATAATTTCCGATCAATTCGATTAGACGACGATGGACGAATTAAATCGCAATATGTATATAACACATAATATTTTAAAATAATAATATTACTAAAAAAAAAAAATATACATTTAAACAGATAATTACAATTTGGCAAATAATAGTATGTAGGCAATTAATATTAATAATAGCAATTAGACAGTTAATAGCAACTAATTATAATAATAATAAATATAATAATAATAATAAGGACAACTTAAAAATAGCAATAATCAATAATTACTCTCAAATAATCCACAATAAAACGGGGTATTACAGGTCCCCCTGGCGGAATTTGAATGTCTTTGATGTTTTTGAAGGCTCGCCCCAATTTTAAACCAACATCGATAAAAATCCAGTCAATGGGAATATTCCAGGCTTGCACTCATATGTCCATTTTTTGGAATTTCGGATGATCAGCTGAGATATCTTTTTTCAATCATGGAGCACAAGGTATTGATTTTCGAAGGTCCAGTTGTTGCCCTTAGCCACTTTATGTTTGTCTTCTAGCTCCGCGAAAATGAATTGGAAAAAAATTGCTTCCAACTCTTTAATAGTGACTGATGATTTGATTTGCCAAACATGATTGATAGTTCTTGTCAGCCCCAGCAAATGAGCTCGTTTTGATCCAATTATTTTTATGAATAAGCTTTTGCTACATTCCTCCGCACTAAGATGGACGTCTTTCTGGTCAATAGGTATAATTTCGACTTCCTTCTCAGATAACTGAAATGCTCATAACTTTTCTGAAATGTCTTCCTCCATAGAGTTCAGCAGAGAAATAGTGGGAGGTAGATGAAGAAGGAAACACCTGCTCAGTAAAACAAGACAGCCAAGACGCTAGGAAAATGGGGAAAACAGAAAACCCTAATAATAGCAGAGTAAATGAGGAGCGAGAGAGTAGTTAGGAAATAATGAGAATAATTGAGATGAAAGTAAGAGACATAATTAAGCTGGGCTGCTGCTAACTGTGAAACAAATCATAACCTGCATATGAGGGAATCAAGCTTCCATGGAGGAAAAATCGCACCCTCAAGAGAGAATTTTTATGACCTTTTTAATTAAAAGTTTATACCAAAATAATAAATTTTATAATGTTTTCTTTTCTTCTATTGTACTTCCAAGTTGTGGCTGGGCTAATGGGAGTTCTTTTTTTTTTTTTTTTGGGTATAATGAGAGAAGGCCAAAGCCTTAGAAAGTTAAGCTAGCACACGACTGGGATAAGAAACCTCCGCAAGATCATGTTGAATCCATGCCCCCAAGCCAAGGGGAGGAGACGAAAGCCGGTGCGATCCGACCGATGAATTTGCCGCTAAGCCCGCCAAATGATCCGCCGCAAAATTAGCTTCCCTATGAACATGTTGGATCTTAATGTTCCATTCTCGATCGTACATGCTACGAATGGCCCGAACCAGTGCTACATGGGTCCCAAACCTATTCGTCGGGCCCTGAATCAGCTGCGTGACACATTGTCTATTAACCTCAGCAATGACAAGACGGAAGCCCAAGTCCCACGCCAGGAGTAACCCTTGCAGGAGTCCCCAAAGCTCGGCACCCGTAATAGTGCAATATCCAATGTTCATAAGAAAACTTGCCTACCATCCACCAAACTCTTCTCTAATTAATCCACCCGCACTACTCAAACCAGAAGATGTATCGAAGGCTCCATCTGTATTAACTTTTACCCATCCCATGTCCCGCGAAATCCAACGAATAAATCAGTTAATATACACAACATCCCTAACTCGAGCATAAGCTTCAGTTGCCCGACTGTAGGAGTCCGTGAATCGCACAACTTCAGTGATCCTCGCATCAACACTTAGAAATTGGTTGTTAAAAATTCTGTCATTTCTCCACGTCCATAATCGCCAAACGGCAAACGAGAACATGCTATTACATTGGCTCCTAGGTCTCAGCTGCAAGAGGACTAGATTCCGTTTAACCCAGGCGTGTAGAGGCAGCGAGAAAAACTCCCGCACTTGGTCCAAAGGAACTAGCCGTATCCAGAAACCCGTGGCAACCCGACAATCCCTAAGCACATGCAACAGTGACTCACACTCCCCACAAACATCACAGGCCGTCGAGGAGGCTATATGTCGCCGAACCCGCTCCTCGTTAGTCAATAGCCGACCCTTTACGACGAGCCAGAGAAAAGTTCAAACTCGCTGCATGGGCAGCGCACGCCACACAAGTTTCCAAAGAGGTTTATCGGGATCCGCAGTCGGTCGAAGAAGAGCGTCATAAGCCAGACTTGTGGAGAAACGTCCATCATGCGAGTAACGCCAAACCATACGATCGTCCCCAGCATCGGCGCTCGGCGAGAAAATCCTGGCTATCTGCAATATTATCGATGAAGGAAGGAGACCATGAAACGTATCCCATTTCCACCTTCTGAATGCATCCACGAACTCGGCCACCTTCATAGATGTGTCGACTGCCGTTGGCCGTTGGGCTAGAAAATTAATTAGCAGACCATCCATCCCCAGCTAAGGATCGACCCAAAAACGAGATGTTTCCCCATTTCCCAGGACCCACCGCACGCCCCTAATTAAATACGACCACACCTTTCGAAGAGCATTCAATAACCCCGAGCCTTTCGACGCGGCACATTCTCACCAAGAGTCTCGGGGGTGAGGCCATATTTAGCGACGATGGTACGTACCCACAACGAGTCGCTGCGCGTCAGGATATTCCATCCAAGTTTTAATAGGAAGGCGTTGTTCATATGGTGTAAGCTTTTAATGCCAAGGATGCCACATTCTTTAGGTTGGCACACCTCCGCCCAAGAGACCAAGTGAACCTTGCGGTTGTCATCTGAGCCTCTCCAAACAAAGGCTCGACTACGGCGCTCAATAGCATCTTTAACCGAGCACGGGAGCAAGGCCGTTTGCATTGAATAGAATAGGAGCGTGCTCAGAGCCAACTGGGTAAGAGTCACTCTCCCGGCCAAAGATAGTGATTTCATTCACCACCTGGTTAATCTCGCCTCCATCTTATCAACCAAATGCGTGTACGTGTCGTTAGTAACCCGGCCGTGAAGGATGAATACACCAAGATATGTACCGAGATTTGCCGTCCACTTGAAATTAAGTTGTGCAACCAACCTATGTTGTTGCTCGATCGCATTGTTGGAAAAAAAGACTAAGGTTTTCTTCGAGCTAGCCTTAAGTCCCGAGTAATAGCAGAAGCGATGAAGAGTATGCTGCAAAGTGGCCACGTGGTCGCCCGTCGCTTCTAGAAATAAGAGGAGATCGTCGTCAAACATTAAAAAAGGAACATGAACAGCCACCCGGCCAACTGATATCGGTCTCCACGAGCGCTCGTCAACCGCCCTGCAAATGAGTTGTGCCAGTCTTTCCATGCATAAGACAAATAGGTATGGGGATATAGGATCACCCTGTCGGACCCCACGGGTGGGAAAAAAAGCATCTCCACTCGTACCGTTCCACAGTAGATTCATTGAAATCGCATGAAGACAAGACATGACAGCCGTAACGAGCTTATCAGGGTAGCCGGCGAACCGCGAGGTCTCTTCAATGAAATCCCAAAGTAAATAATCATAAGCCTTTTCAAGATCCACTTTAATCACCATGAAGCCCTTCTCCCCTTGCTTAGTGCGCATCAAGTGAAAAAGCTCATGGACGACGACAATATTGTCCGTAATATGGCGACCTGGGAGAAAACTCACATGTGCTGGATGGATCAAATCCGGCAGAGTACCCTTCATTCGATTCACCAAAATTTTGGTAAATAACTTATAGATGACATTGAGCAGGCTAAAAAGGCGAAACTGTTTAATCGTGCTTGGGTTCGCAACTTTAGGAATAAGGGTAATCAAAGTTTGGTTGACTATATCTGGGACCACCCCATCATGCCACATTTTTTGAAGGAAAGCCCTCACCGAAGGGCCCACTATCACCCAGTTCTTTTGGAAGAACAACGCGTTTAAGTCGTCCATCCCGGGCGCCTTCAAAGAGCCCATAGTACCGATGGCAGTGTAGATTCTCTATCAGAAAAATCAGTCTCCATGCTTGTCATCATCCCCACATCACAAACAGGGAAAAGGTTCAGTTCCACGCCATGCCGAATCGAAGGCGACCCAGCCGTATAAATGCCCTTAAAGAAATTTGTGGCTAAAGTACGAAGGGTCATTGGATTCTATACCAGGTTGCCCCCAGTGTCCACCAATTCTACAATTTTGCAATGTCGTCGCCAATGCTTTATCTACATGTGATAGAAAGAAGTGTTCCGATCCCCCAGCATGGCCCACTCTCGAGTAGACTTTTGTACCAACAACAACTCCTCCTGCATTATAATGTCGTCCAACTCTTCACGCAGCTGTCGTTCTAAGCCCATTAGCCTCTCGCTAAAATAAGCCCAGCGGCATCATTGGATTCCCGCTAGCTGAGCCAGGAGTGTCTTCTTCTTTTGGAAGACATTCCCAAACACCCAAAAGTTCCAGTCCTTCTCCGCAGTGGTGAAATTCGAAGCCGCCTCGTCGAAGGAGAGAGACAGTTGCCAAGAGTCGGTAAGCATATCTCGGAAGCCCGGGCGGAGGAGCCATGCAGCCAGGAACCAGAAAGGCTTTTCCCCTACAGTCCGAACCGAACACCAGAGCAGTCGAGGAGTAGTGGCGAGTGGTCAGATTGGATTCGTGGGAGGAGCCGAACTCGACCCATCCCGAACCTGTCCAACCAGGCCAAGTTGGCTATAAATCAGTCCAGTCGCTCAGCAACCCTTCCGTCTCGGCCCTGACGTACCCACGTAAAGCTATGTCCATCCGTGGGAACCTCCTGTAAGATGTTGTTGAATATCCAACCCGAAAACTCCTGACTACGATTACAAAAACTAGAGGCGCCCCCACCTTATCTGAGCGATGAAGGAGGCAGTTAAAGTCACCTCCAATTAGCCATGGATTTGAGATATTGCTCGCCAAGCTGCCCAAAGTAGTCCAAAGCCCCCGGCGGATTGTCACATTCGGGTTCGAATACACAAAGGAGATAAGACACCTCGCATTATGTTTGTTCGTCCGGACATGGATACCATATGTAATCAGTAATTTATTATAGTAATATATATTATAGTAATATATATTTACAACATGAAAAGTTACATACATCTAAGTTATTAGTATGCCTAAACATCAATAATATGAGTTGAATCTAGGTTTACAGACAGAACTGAATTAAATTGAATGTTGCATGGCATTTTTTCTGGTTCAAATTCCATAAGACAAGCTAGCCAACTTATTTTGACGAAATATTAGGCGCATTAACTTTTCATGATTCATGAAAGTGTTAACTTATAAAATAAGACATATAAGTAAAATATTATATACTAGTATTAGCATATGTTTATGCACATTCAATTAGAATAAAAATTCAATTTTCTGCACGAAAATACATACATGGTCGCCTTCGTCTTTGTATTAGGGATGGTGCCTAAAATAAAAACAGCAGATGCGTGAGATCGAAGAGGAGCAAAAATCATGTCGAGGGGTTTAGAGTTTTTTTTTTTTTTTCCAACGATAGAAAATATCTCATTCCACAATAAACAGAAGTACAGGTACATCCCGAATACACAGCCAAAATGGCTAAAAAAACCACACTGAGAGGTACACCAAAAGGTGACCTAAACAACAATACCCCACACTTCAATGGGCAGGACTAGATGCCTGAGTCCCAACTGAAGCAGACCACCTACTACACAAGACCTGCACCTCTGAAAACCACCCTCTAAACCAGAACCAACAAACCAAACTGACACTAGAAAGGAAAAACACAAAAGAAAAGAGAAAAACAGCAACTAAGGAAACCAACTAAAAGAGCAAGACAAGGTAAAAAACTTCACAGCGACTTCTAGTCCTCTTAGTTGAAGAAACTGACGAGAACTCCTGCCAATCATTAATCGCTCTCTCCACTGTGATGTTTTCAGGCTGTTTCTGCCCTTGGAACTTCCATAGATTTCGAGAACGCCAAACCCACCAAAGAATGTAAGTTGTCAATTGAATACGGGCTTCGGACGTCTCGGATCTATCTGTAGAACAAACTTGCCACCACCATTGTTTAAAATTTCCAGAACAGCTCTCAATTCCATCCCAGTCAAGAGGAGCCAATTTCCAGATTTTCCTAGCTCTACTGCAGGTGAATAGTAAGTGCTCAATGGACTCCTCTTTTTTCCCACACATAATACACACTCCATCAATCTTCATCCCTCTTCTCAGCAGATTTTTACAAACAGGAAGGATGCCATTTACACATTTCCAGATAAAATGCTTTATTTTCCCAGGCACAAGAAGTTTCCAACTCCTATCTCTAACTTTCCAATCTAACCCAGCACTTGCACTCCCTTCTGGTTGGTCAAGTCTCAGTATTTTTTAATTCATGAGATTAGAATATGAGCTTGAAACTGAGAACATACCAGAATTATCCATGCTCCATCTCCAGCCATCATCTTTAGAGGGGTTGAGGGTGTTGATCTTTACAATGGCAGCACTATCTTTCTCACTGAATAACTGTTGAACTCTACCAATATTCCATCTAGTTCCAGCATTACTCAACAACTCACTCACCAACATCTCAGAGTCTCCTCTTTGCTCTTTCAGCTCTGGCTTTCTCAATCCTAGTTCAGGTACCCATCCTACATCAGAGATTCTTGTACTCCTCCCATTACTCACCTCTTTATACATACCTATAGCCAACTCAGGAACACAGTCCAGCCAATTATTCCAAAGCCAGAATGAGGAACTTTTCTTTTTGGCCTCAAAGATGGTTGAGTTAGGATAGTACTTGGATTTCAATACCTGACTCACCAGCAGTTGTGGTTGGGTTGTGATCTCCACAATTGTTTAACTATTAAAGCAACATTAAACAGCTGGATACCCATGAACCCCAGCCCTCCATTTTGCTTAGGCAGAGTAAGTTGGTTCCATCCTTTCCAATGTATACCTTTCTCAAAGTCTGTACCTCTACTCCACCAAAATGTTGCTGATAATTGGGCTATCTGTTTGCAAATTCCCACAGGGAGCTTGAAGCACGACATCGAGAAGACGGGTAAAGAATTCAACACTGCTTTAATTAACACCTCTTTTCCCGCAGTAGACAGATACCTATTCTTCCAGTCAATAAGTTTTCCCCTGACAGCTTGAATAATATACTCAAAGGCTTCCTTTTTGGATTTGCCAATTCCTAAAGGTAGCCCCAAATATCTTGTTGATTTGTGAACCTGGACTCCATTCAAGATGGTACAAATTTCTAACTGCACAGCACCTCGAGTATTCTTACTAAAAAACACAGATGACTTGGTTAAATTCACTTTCTGCCCTGAGAACAACATGTAGGCATTCAAAATATTCATTAGCACAAAAGCTTGCCCCCTTTCAGCCTTATAAAACACCAAGGAATCGTCAGCAAAAAGTAAATGGGTCAGAGTAGGACCCCCTACTAAGTCTCAAACCTCTGAACACTCCCATATCAGCAGCTGCTTTAATCATAGAAGACAACACCTCAAAAATAATAAGGAAAAGATAGGGGGATAAAGGATCCCCTGTCTTATACCTCTTGTTGGAGCAAAAAACCCAGCTGCTTGACCATTTAACAGGAATGAAAATGATGAAGAGGTAACACAAGCCATTATCCACTTAATAAACTTCAAATCAAAACCCATTTTTTCTATTGTTTTTTTGATCCCCACCCACTCAACTCTGTCATATGCTTTCATCATATCTAACTTGAGGGCCATAAAACAATGATTTCCACTTCTATGTCTGTTAAGATAATGAAAAGATTCCTGTGCTATCACCACATTGTCAAGCAATTGCCTCCCAAGAATAAAAGCAGATTGAGACTGACTGATACACACATGCAGACAGTGTTTCAGCCTATGTGCCAAGACCTTAGATATAATTTTATAAACCACCGAGCACAGACTGATTGGTCTGTAATGATTCAGAGAAGAGGGGTTCATGCACTTGGGAATGAGAGAAATGAGAGTTTGGTTCCAGTACCTGAGAATCTGACCAGATTCAAAAAAGCTCTTCACTGCCTCACACACCTTTAGAGTTTGAGCCGTTGGTTTTCTCGGCTTGACCCTCTCTTCGTCATTTGAACGCCCTTTTCTCCTTTAGAGGTCTGCTCAATTTCATCTACAATAGAAGAATTCACTGATCAGTTACTTGTGTTTTTTTGGGTGATTTTAGTGATATTTGTTCCAGTATGTTACTCGTATTGCTTAATGCTTTGCAGTATCTGTTTGTGTAGCTTCCTCGTCTTATCAATCTTCATTTTCCCTGTTTAGGTATTGGGAGAAACTTTTCAAGTGATGGTTTCGAAGCGAAGGAACTCAAGGATCTGCAGAAAGACCCTCGCGATCTATTTTGTGCTCTTTTTTTTTTTTT